ACCCCCCGGCTTCTTTCAGGAATGTTCTTTATCTTTTATTTTCTGTAGTTTGAAAATGAAATGCTTGCGTGTAGGTTTTGGGGGCATTTATCCTGTTTGGTGTTCTCTGAGCTTCCTGGATCAGGGGTTTGGTGCCTGATATTAATTCTGGGAATTTCTCAGTCACTGTTGTTTCAAATATTTCTTATTTTGTTTCTTCTCTTTCTGGTGTTCTTATTACACATATGTTACACCTTTTATTTATTTATTTAATTATAGACAAGGTCTCACTCTTGCCCAGGCTGTCCTCTAGCTCAGCCTCCTGAATAATTGGGACTACAGGCCTGTGCCTCCATACCCAGCTAATCATTTTAATTTTTATGGGGATGTGGTCTCACTGTGTTGCCTAGGCTGGTCACGAACTTCTAGGCTCAAATGATCTTCCTGCCGTGGCCTTCCAGAGTGCTGAGATTATAGGCAGAAGCCACCATAGCCAGCCTGTGTGACACATTTTGTAATTGTTCCACAGCTCTCAGAAATTCTGTACAATTTTTTCAGTCTTTGTTGCCTTTGCTTTTCCATTTTCAGAGTTTCTCTTGATAATATTTCAAGCCTAGAGATTCTTTTCTCAGCCATGTCTATCTACTAATAAGCCCAGCACAGGCATTCTTTATTTCTGTTTAAGCGCTTTTGATATCTAGCATTTCTTTGTAGTTTTTCTTAGGATTTCTTCTTTCTGCTTAAATTCCCTCTGTCCTTAAATGCTAGCTACCTTTTCCATTAGAGCCTCCAGCATGTTAATTATAGTTGTTTTAACTTCCTGGTCTGATCATTCCAACATCCCTGCCATGTCTATTCCTTATGCTTGCTCTGTCTCTTCAAGTTGTGTCTTTTGCCTTTTGGTATGCCTTATAATTTTTTCTCAATAGGCAGACACATTACGTTCTAGGTAAAAGGAATTGCTGTAAATAGGCCCATCGTAATCTGATGGTAAGATATCAGAGGAGGAGAAGTGTTCTCTAGTCCTGTGATGAGGTCTGTTTTTCAGTGACCCTGTGACCCTGGACACAAGTGTTTCTCAGTTTTTCCTACCCCCTTAGATGGGATAGGATAGCTAGAGTGGGCAGGAGTTGAATCTTTCTTTCCCGCAGGTCGTTAGGCTCTGGTTAACTAGTTTCTCCTGTGGGAAGAAGACCTTGTTAAGAAAAATAGTGCTGGGGCATTTTTCAAAATGGTTTCTTTTCTCTTCTCCCAGCCAGAAGCAGAAGAGTTTATATCTCTGATATTTATAATGTGGGCCCTGGCCAAGCTGCTGGAGGTAAATCTCACAATATTGTAGCAGTTGGCCTGTGACTAGGTCCATCCAGAGTTTTAAACTCTCAGACTTGTTAGAGTTCCGGTTTTCTTACCCTAGCGCTGGTTCTCACAGCAGTTTCCACTCGGGAGTCTCTGCTCTGTTAAGCCGCGACTTCCTCTCAGGAGTCTCTGGTCTCTGCTCTGGTAAGCTACAGCCCCCTGCATTCGTCTGTCTGTCTCTCCAGCCGCAGGGCCGGTAGTTTGCCTTCTGTCTTACCCTCTTAGAGGTCCAAGGAGAGGTGTTGACTTTTCAGTCTGTTGACCTTTTACTTGTTCGGGTGGAGTAGCAACATTCAAGTTCCTTAAATGCAGAACCAGAAACTGGAGGTCCCTCCTCTGCCTGTTTTTACCTGGGTTCTTTGTCTTACAACTCTTGAGTTGTAAGAGTTTGTTATATATTCTAGATACAAGTCCCTTATCACACACGTGATTTGCGTATATTTACTCTCATCCTGTGAGCCATTTTGTCACGTTTTTTATTGGTATGCTTTGCAGCACAGATGTCTTTAATTTGTAGGCTATCTTGTCCTTTGTCACTTGTGCTTTGGTGTCGTAAGAAGCTCGGGAGCAATGAAGTTTACTTCTGTGTTTTATTCTAAGAGTTGTGTAGTTTTAGCTCTTACTACATTTAGGTCTGTGAACCATTTTGAGTTAATTTTGTATATGATATGAGGTAGGGGTCCAGTTTCATTCTTTTGCCTATTTGTTCAAATGACTGTTATTTTCTCTTAGAATTGTCTTAGCACCATGAATGATTTTTAATGTGTAGGTCTTATATCCTCATTTTGAAACCATTACTGAACATCCAGGTAGGTCCGACTATGCTCATTTACCAGATTTCATAGCCTGGAAACTCCTTGTGGGATGTAGATGTCATTGGCAAAGTTCATTAGTTTCTGTAATGAGGCAGACTCAGTCTGTCTAACCAAATTGTCATTTGCCAGCAGAAAACTTAAAGTACCAAAGAAGGGCCTGGTGGTTTTCCCTAATGTCAAATTAAAGCTCCAAAGTGCCTCAGCTTTTTATGATTGTAAATTGCAAGTCTGTCTAGGTGAAGCTTTAGTTAATGTTTTCTACCCTTGCCACTCATCACATTAATGAATTCCGTATGTTTAATACCTGTCCACAGTGGTCCCTATCAGGTTTCAAAGTTGGTGTTTAGAAAGTAGGACATTCTTTGACTTCTGTGTGCTAGTGAAAAGAGAAAGTATAAAGCTGTGCACATGTATTAACAATAAATCAATTTCTTCAAAGGTAGGGAGGGAAGTTTAATTTGGATAGGGGGACCGGGCAATAGGATAAGAGCAGGACAACAGAGCATTGTTTACGATTGGGGAGCTAATGGAGGGAAGGAAGTTGCCCTGTTGGTTGAGAGATGGGTTCTGCAGCCCCTTCTGTGGGCTGGGTAGGCTCCGTTGGCAAGTCTCTTACACATTGTTGTCCTGTCTCTTACACATCGTTGTCCTGGATTATCTCTGAGTCCATTCTACAAAGGGGACTCTTTAAAACTGTGTTTTCTACCTATGGTAACAGAGCTGATGGGAGTTTAATAGATGCTTCTTTAAGGGTTTGAGATTTTGTGGTGCTTTGGATAATTAACTTCTCAGTGATCAGTTTCCTACATACAGTCATCCTTCAACCTACAGAGGCCCTACCTTCAGGCCTCTGCTCTCTTTCCATGTCCAGCCGTCCATGGTATCCTGCACCTCTTCGTTAATTTTCTTCTTAATTAACTAAGGACATAGAGAGGAACACTCCCCCAAGTGTAGTCCTGGGATGCTATCTTGTGTTCCTAAGTGAAAGAAGGCTGTTGTGTGCCTTAGAGAAATTACATGTGTTAGATAAGCTGCTTTGAAGCATGAGTTATAGTGCTTCTATAACTATAAATATAGGCACCTGAGTTAACATATAGCTGATCACTAACATTGAACTCATGTTAGTGAATTAGCTATATGTTAACTAAGGTGCCTTTAAACAGAAACATACATAAAACAAGGTTATGTATTGATCAGTTGAAGAAAATGTTTTAGGGGCTCACAGGAACCGAACTGTATGCCACCTGTGGACAATGCTGTAGTGTTCACTAATTCAGTATTCACAACAGCGTAACTCATGAATAACAAGAATTAACCGTATTTGTCATGTAATGGGCACTAACACTGATTGCCATTGACTGTATCAGATTAATTTTGTGCCGAGTATAATGTTTTAAATTTAAGTTTTACATATTTCTTATAAGTGTATATATATTATGTATAGCCATGTATTGAATAATTCATATATTTGCGAGTTCTTTAAAAATTATTTTAGGGTAAAAAAGGGCATGTAGAAGACTTTACGTTTGGTTTGTACAATCTGAAACAGTAAAATTTAAGAATGTACACATGTTTCTTGACAAAATCAACCACATTTTTTTCTTTAATAGCATTCATGTAATTTCACCTGATTACTAATTTCAAAATATATTTAAGAAAGTTATAGCTCCAAAGATAGAAATTTATTTTACTGAAAACTGCAAGTAAGCCATATATGGTAACTCTGGTCACTCTAATATATATGTTTTATGTCACTCTCCCTTTGAACCCCCCGGTGTGTCTTTGCCTTAAGGAATTTTAACTTATCTTAGATTTATAGTGTTTTTATGGTGACTCTCCTGGCTTCCAAAGCCTAATAGACTTATTTGTGTAGCTTTTAAGGCTAATTGATTGGCTTGTGATGCTTTTGCTGGAGGAATATCTCATTAAAATCAAACGGATGAATTAGCTAATTGTATTTAACATTTGAAGGGATAAGTGAAAAGAGGAGGAAAAGACTCAAGTTGATTCAAAAGCAAAATGAGAAGAAAAGATAATTGGCATATTCTCCGCATCTTTCCTCTGATCAACCAAATAGGAGACAAAACAAATTAGAGACTTGTCTTTGAACAGGAAGCAGATGTGCCAGGCATATTCCTCCAATTTTGTTGACTGTTTTATCTTTAGATACTGATTTTTGTCTGGAGGAGAGTGTTGGAGCAACTGAAATGGAACTCATAACTTCAGCTTTTGATGGAAGTTGATGCCTGGCACTTTATGCTGTATTAATGCCAGGAAATAAATTTTATTTCCTCCTATCTTTAGACAAGCTGTTATTCCTCTACTGTACTGTCACTTTTAACTTAGATTTCTGAGAAACAAGGGAAAAAAGATTGACTCTTTGAGACCAGTTGCTGGCTAAGGCTTTTGAGCATCCCAGTTACTTGTCATTCAGCAGCTGTATGGGAAAGTGTAAGCTATGTTGTTGAACAAATTTTGTAAAGGAAAAAAAAAGTATTTCTTGATTTACTTGGTACAAATGTCTCTTTACTCAAAAAACCTTTACAAATGGTTACTGGGCATTCAGACATTTGTTTAGCACTCTGTCATCTCATAAAGTGATTTCCATCAGGCGCCTTTCACAGAAACCCCGAGAGGTCAGGGAAAATCATAATTTCCTTGATGAGAAAGCTGAGGCCGAGAGGAGCTCCTTGTGGGAAGCTTCACCTCTGATTTCCTGGTCTGCTTCATAGGCTTCTTGCTTTTTTTGTTTTTGTTCTTTTTTTTTTTCCCTTTTTTCTTAACATCCTTGCCTTACTGTTGTGAGAATGATTTCTATTTTGCAATAGCTTATGTTTTTCTCCTGTACAGGGATATTCCAATGCCTTTAGTCAGCTCAGGAGTAGAGCATGGTAACCTGAGAGAGCTGGCACTTGCAAGAATGAAAGACCTCGGAATACAGGTAAGAGTAAATAGGGCTGTCAGGCCGCAGCTTTAGAGAAAAAACGGAACCTGAAATGGAAAAGACTCTTTTACTATCGCACCTAAAACTAGACTTGTGGGTCAGGTCTGAAAGCCCTCTGATGTTGAAGGGCGTGGTCACCGGCCCATGTTGGAGCTAAAGCCAGTGGTGCAGAGGCTGTTCCTGTTCCTTCATTCCCTTCTGCTTCCTTCTGCCTGCTCGGATTGCCAACTGCATGCTCCACTCCAGTTTCTAAAACCAGTTTTTCTTTTGAAGTATTAGGTGTTCAGTTCTTGACTGTAGAAAAAGGAGATGTGATTCCTGAAAAGAAAGTACATTTGAAAAGACAAGGATTATGTGCATGAAATAATTAGCAGGACTCCTGTGGCCCCACATACACCACTCTCCCATCGCTCTGGCCACTGAAGTCCCTTCTTTTGGTCACAGATATTTACTAAGCTCTCTGCTGGCTCAGGATGTACAAAAAACCCAAGAACCTGCAACTTAACAGTCTCTGTGGGACATTCTTAAGTCATAGGAAGGTTTGAAACTCAGTGCTCAGGGACTTCTTAGGGCTGCCGAAGGGATAAACCAGGAGTGGTATTGAGACCAAGGGCTGACTCCTGAGATCTGCCCTCAGAGATTCTGAATCAGTAGCTTGGAATGGGACTGACCTGTTTTTTATCCAGCACTAGGTACGTGGTTCTCATGCCCAGTTCAGACATGGACCCCACTTTGAAAGACATGGTTCCAAGGATTACATATTTATACACAGGTGTTTGTGGACCTAAGACATTTTCTTCTCTCACTCAAATTATTATGGAGAAAATTTTTCAGAAAATTGTTCAAGGGAGAGTTTGTGAACATAATTGGCTTATTCTACCAAAAAAAAAGTGAACAATTTTATGTTCTAGAAAAATAGCAAATGCATTTATGGTAATTAATGGCACCAAATAAGATTGCGTGCCTGTTGTGCCTCCCAGGCTCCAGCTGTCCCTGTTGTCCACCTCCTCTCACCTCCAAGAAGGCCACTGACCTTGAAGAAGGCCAAGGTGACTGACCTGGCCTGCTTATCCCAACAGTCTCATTGTCAATCCATCTTCTTTAACCCTTGCCCCTCATAAGCCTTGTTAGTCACTGTTAAGGTAAGCTGGGATTGAGTCTAAAGGCTGGAATTCAGTCATAGCCAAAAGATATCTAGTTTCTATAGGCAACATCTTTAGCAGAAAATAAGCACACACCAATCTCTGCCTTTAAAAAAGCATGCCAAAAAAAACCCAGCATGCAGGTGTTCATTAAGAACATGGAATAGTAATACAGTCCCATGCTAGCTAATGTCTAGAACTACTAGAGTTCTATCCAGCAGCTACATTAAGTAGATTAATAATTACAGAGATTTCTCATCTTCATCTTCTGTACAATTTTTGTTTACTGGAATTCATGGACTCTACATCAGCAAAGCATTATTTCGAGCTAGTTCCTGGGGCATGGAAGTAGCTTTAGTTTTCTACAACTGAATAATGAGCTCTTATTTTTCTCCTGGAACTCTGTACATGTATAGCAGTCCTTCATAAATATGCTATTAGTAGAAAAGCTTACGTGACATCATCAAATTTCCTACCGTGATCTTTTCTCACTGGAAAAAATGTTTATAGTTTGTTCTCTGGGGGGAAATAACACCATAGAATGTGATGTATAATTGAATAATTACAAGGATTTATAATAATGAAAAGCATTGGTCATTGTAAATGTCTGGTAGCATAGTATGCACTGTGGGTTGTGGAATAGAAGCGAGAGCCACATCACAGATGGTTGGCCATGCAGACCAGGCATTGCATTGGCATCATCTGCAGGTAGCTCTGTGCTGCCTCAGATATTCAAAGAGCCATTTGTGATTGTGCTTCAGAGTACGTAATACATAGCTCTAGGTTCGTTCTTTTCTCTCTGTCTTTCTTTGTCTCTTCCTCTCTTTTTCTTTCTCTCTTTCTTTTCTTTTCCCTTCCCATCCCTACCCCTCCCTTCTCTTCCCGTCATCCTTTCTTCCGCAGTGTCCATCTTGCAAAAAAAAAAAAAAAAGCCATCTTCGACATGTACTTTTTTGATATTCCTAAAATGATACAAATACAGTGATGCTAAAAATGTTCAATTCCACAAAATGGAGAGGGTTTTACAAGTTTAGGAATTGACTGTTTACTCTTCTGTGTGCGCACTTCTGGATTGTACTTTCAGATAGTTATATCCCCCAGGCAAACCTGTTTTTTGCTTTCATGACTTACATTCTTTACTGCTAAGATTATATTATATATTGTTTCTTTGGAATTCTAAATTTATTTTAAAAGCAATACTACTCGATACATTCTCACACTGGTTTCCCCATCCTCAAATTGATTAAAGGTGGCTTTATTTTGAAATTCACATCTTTTACTGTAAGTTATGTGCAAACTTAATTTTGAGCCCGGGGTTTGGCAGAGAGGTTTAAATAAAAATAAAGATTGAATTGGTTACCAGTTTTACATTTGCAGCCCCTCACCACCACCTTTTTTTGACAGTGTCGAGATGTGAGAACCAGGGAAGTTGGAATCCAAGAAATTCATCACAAAGTACGGCCATTCCAGGTCAGTCTCCTCATTTTGTAAGGGACCGGGTCCCGTCCTTATGTCATTGCCAAGCCTGGGCCCACATGTTTTTACCAAGGGCGGAGCCCCGGAAGTGAATAACTAAGAGCAGAGACTAACTGAGGATTAGATACCAGTGTCCAAGCCATGAAAGCCAAGTAGGAGAATTCTAGAAGAGCCAGGTTAGGAAAACGAAGTCTGAACCTCATTCCAGCCCAGCACTGTCCGATGGAACTTTCTGCAGTGTTGGGAATGTTCTGTGATCTGAGCTCTGAGCTATACAATATGGCTGAGCGCTTGAAATGTGGCTTGTACAAATGAGGAACTAAATTTTTTATTTAATTTTAATTAATTTAATGTAAATAGTCCCCTGTGACTACAGGCTCCGTTCGGGAAGGGCATAGTATGATCTGCTTCTCTCTTTATGTGTAACTGTTCAACGGTTTTCCAATGGTGATAAGCGAATGAATAGATCAGCCCTTATCTACAGGGGCGCCACAAGAATTAAGTGTCATGCCTTAAGGCATTCGTGGTATACAGTGAATTAACTTCTCTCTGATACTTGTATAATGTCTAACTATATGCCAAATTTTCTGTAGGATTTGATTGTCTTGTAGAACGCCATTTGAGAAAGACTGGAATCAGATGATCTCTGCATTGATGTTTCTGTTCTCAGCATGAATTATTTAGTTGACATTTTTCACATTTAGGACCTTTTGAGGGGAAAAAGTAGACCCAACACAATTTGTGCGGTTCAGCTATTTAGCAAACACTATTGAGAAGGAATGTGTGTTGGTCTGAATTGTTCATCTTGCTGTGGTTACCTTCTGCCCATTTACTGAGTGTTTCTGGGTGCGGCCATGTCCGTGTGTATACCTTTCTCTGTGCACGCATATTGTTACATATGGCTTCTCTTTAGGCAGCGTACAAGAGCCATTTGTACAGTGAGCTGAAGAGCCAAGAGCATGTGCAGACTGCTACCACAAAGCTTCCCCCAGAAGCGACACTCCATGGTTGTATTTTCTTTAATCTGTTAAGCCCGTAATTGTGCATATTTTAAGTGCCCTGTGGGTGCCATACTTCCCGGAAATTTCATCAAGGTGCAGGTGATCAGCATCACATTTTTCTTCCCCAAAGATATATTTCAGTGGAGGTGATAAGGACTAGAAGATGAAACGCAGACCATTCAGCCGCTGACAGTTTTGAGGCAAAGGGGTGATCCTGAGAGCTGCACATGTGACGGGGCGTGAAATTTTACATAGGAGACTCTTCATGGAGAGTCGAATGTGTGGAAGCCTTTACTGAGTTGGATCTCTGTAAGAGTCTCAAGGTTAATGAAGTTCAAGTATTGAAATTATACAGTTGTTTTCCTTTTATAATAGTCCAAGAATAAGGTGTGAACTTTAATCTTGTGCTATTTGAGAGTAGACAAGTAAAAAGAAACATAATTAGGGAGTATTCATTCCTTATCCCTAACTAGATATTAGCCTAAATCAATACATACAATTACAAAAATGAATTTGGTTCTTTAATTCTGAATATTTTTTGTGGCCTTTTACTAAACAGGTTGAATTGGTAAGGAGAGATTATGTTGCAAATGGCGGCTGGGAAACATTCTTGTCGTATGAAGACCCAGATCAAGACATTTTGATTGGACTCCTACGATTACGCAAGTGTTCAGAGGAAACCTTCCGTTTTGAACTGGGGGGAGGTGTCTCCATAGTCCGAGAGCTGCACGTGTATGGAAGTGTGGTCCCTGTGAGCAGCCGGGATCCCACCAAATTTCAGCATCAGGTAGTCTGTATTCCATTTCTATTTGACGTCTAAGAAACTGCCTAAGTAGGAAAATAGAAAAGGCCTGGGGTGAAGAGAGGAGGAAGAGAGGAGAAAGAGAAGCGTAGAAACAGAGGAGCCAGCTCCAAAATGGATGATTTCATAATTGTGTTCGGAGATGTTTTCCTTCCAAATTGTACCCTTTTGGGAGAAAAGGGCGAACTGAGATTCAGTCCTTTGGAATATATCAGATTGAACCACATGGAATTGGTTTTTTTTTTTGAGAGAGTCTCGCCCTGTCACCCACGCTGGAGTGCAGTGGTGTGATCTCGGCTCACTGCAACCTCTGCCTTGAAGATTCAAGTGATTCTCCTGCCTCAGCATCCCTAGTAGCCAGGATTATAGGCGTGCACCACCACGCACAGCTAATTTTTGTATTTTTAGTAGAGACGAGATTTCACCATGTTGCCAGGCTGGTCTCAAACTCCTGACCTCAGGTGATCCACCCACCTCAGCTTCCCAAAGTGCTGAGATTACAGGCATGAGCCACTGTGCCCAGCCTGCAATTAGAATTTTTGAAAGTAAGAATGTCTAATACTGGCAATCTCATATGGGTCAACTCATTGTGGAGTCCAGCTAGATGGTGATGGGAAAGCACTTACGAAATATTCAAACACTTGCTAAGGTTAAGGCATGTTATACATAAGAACCCTATTCTAATCCTAGACAACCTACCTTAATAATTAACTTTGTAAAATTTCCAGAAAATGAGTTAAAACCTAATGGTGGTTATGATATAAGCTCTAAAATGGATGATTTAATAATTTTGCCTGGTTTCTCAACTTGTTTAGAGAATAGAGCAGTGGCCGGGAGTGGTGGCTCACACCTGTAATCCCAGCATTTTGGGAGGCCGAGGCAAGTGGATCACCTGAGGTCAGGAGTTTGAGTCCAGCCTGTCCAACATGGTGAAATAAACCCCATCTCTACTAAAAATAAAAAAATTAGCTGGGCGCGGTGGCATGTGCCTGTAGTCCCAGCTTGGGACTTGGAGGGCTGAGGCAGGAGAATCACTTGAACCCAGGAGGTGGAGGTTGTATTGAGCTGAGATTGAGCCAGAGTGATCTCACCCAATGCGCTGAGCCACTGCACTCCAGCCTGGGCAACAGAGGGAGATTACATATCAAAGAAAAAAAAAAGTAGAGAGGTTACTAATAAATAAAAGATGTATTGCCTGAGACTTCTATCATTTGGAGATTGCCTAATTTATCTAAAAAGATAAGAGGGAATTACCATCTTCCTGTGTGTAAGGAGGGAATTACTGTCTTCCTGTATGTAGATTACATCATCCACAAAATTCCTTTTGGTAGCTCTTGTTCAAGGGAATTACTGTCTTCCTGTGTGTAGATTACATCATCCACAAAATACCTTTTGGTAGCTCTTGTTTGAAAGTTCCACCTTTTTAAATTGTCTGCTACAGTGTACCTTTGGTTTGATTGGTTTCTTTTTCCTTTCTCCCATAATTGGGCTTCTATCACTCTTATTTTCACAGATTTTAGCAACTACTCAAGTATAGCCTTCTTGTTTTATGGACCCCTCTTAATGAACTTCCTCCCTTTTTAATTCCCACTCCCCTTTGTTGCTGTATGCAGGGATTTGGCATGCTGCTGATGGAGGAAGCAGAAAGAATAGCTAGAGAAGAACATGGATCTGGGAAAATCGCTGTGATATCAGGTAACTTGGGGAGGGTGAAGTGCATGATTCCTTCCCATTTTGAACTTGGCACCACAGTGAAACTATATTGCTATCCTCTTGCCCCTGTTGATGGTTATTATGTTCAAAATTGGGCTGTGCTGACTGGTGAAGGACTTGTGCCCAAACAAAATTCACAAAAGCAGTTTAGTGGAATAGAACTTTCCAGACACTCTAAGAGTCAGGACCTGTGACCCATGTCCCCTTTTCTGCACTCTCTGTCACATGGTCACCTCCTCTCTTGTGCTGTGCCCAGTTACTCTATCGGAAGAAATGGAATTTGATGATAGACAGGAGGAAATCATGGATGTTTTCCACTATTGTGGAGATTATCACTATTGTTCAGAAATTAAAGTAGAAGCTTAGTTGCCAGTACAAGCTGTTTAAAGGCCATACCCTTGCTCTTTCAGTTTCGTTCTCGGTGACTTTGACCATGGAGAACATCTTTCCCGTTTGGGAGTATAGTAGGGAAAAAGTTTTCCGCAGCCCTCTTAGGGTCCCTGTCTGGATCCGAAAATAAACTGACAAAGACAGATTATCATGGGAAAAGCATACACGCTTATTTCATATACATTTTATGAAAAAGGGAAGCCTTTATAAAGAAGTAAAGACCTAGAGAAATGGCTAAACCTGAGTGTTACACAAGTGCAAAGCATGGAAAAATATGACAGAACACAGGAGTAAGAGCCAAGGGTAATAAACAGGGACGTTTAGCAAGGCCTGTTCATTCAGATTCCTCAACGTGCCCCTCTGCCTTCAGAAATGAAGGTGTTCGTTTGCTCCAGGTGGTGTGAGCACATCTCTCTCATGAGCATCTCATGACCTTCAGGAGAGAAGGAAGGGGAAGGTCAGAGGGTCCTTCCTGCATCTGCCATTTTCTGATTCCTTCACCTTAAGATACTCAGTATGCCAAGGCACCATGTTTTGGGGCAGTGTGTTCTGAACCCCATCAGGAGCTTCCCCATTTCTTATCTAGGACAGCAGGTCACTGGGGAAGTGGGCATGAAAAGGAAAACTCGGTGCAGCCTGTGTGGGTGGAGCAAGAAATGACATAGGCCCACCTTCACTTCTGCTGTTTCATACTGTATCCTTACAGACACGGCTGTTCCCAGTGAGAAGCTAACAGGGTCAAAGCCAGACTCAAAGGGGAGGTTATTTTCCATCCAGCATGTTTGGCCTCCCATAAGGCTAGTACATTCCTAAAGCTAAAATATGCCTTCTGAGAAAATCCTCTCTTCTGAAAATGAAAGTTGAAAGGAGATTAAAAAAAAAAAAAAAAAATCAGTAAGTTGTTGCCAATCAATAAATCAATACCCATGTTCAGGTTTTAATGATTATAATTATGAAAATGTAATGAGTCAGGCTCACTTATGATCATTTAGTGTGGTTGAGGTTTTTGGCATTCTCCAGGGAGCGACCTAAAGCTTTTTTTATTTTTTTAACATCTAGCTTTATTTTTATTTTTTTTTTTCTGTTATCTTTCAAAGAAGAGGAAACTAAACAAGGGTCACCTGATTGGTACTCTTACCTGTAATAAAGAAGTTTACCTCTCCACTGTTTAACCTGTGGTTGACCCGGAGTACCAGGCAAGGGCCAGACTGACTTGGAACCCCTTCTGCACATACATCTGTGCAGAGTTGAGAACACCTGCAATTTCCCGGGTCCCTTTTGCCGGAGCACTGTCCATGTTCTAGTTAAGTACCTGCCTCCGCATCACCTGGAGATGTTGTGAACATGCAGACTCTGACCCAGTGGGCCTGGGTAGGGCCTGAGAGCCTACTTTTCTTGCCACCTCCCACGTGATACCTATGCTGTCTTCACACCATGCTTTGTACACAAGCAAGGCTTGAGTATTCTCTTCCAAATGTATTCTTTTCAGTCACGGAGATAATGACAACACTCTGATCCTGGCAGTGCTGCACTTAGTCTGATAATAGTCATGTGACTTTGTGGTGTCTGTGGGAACCTAATCAACGTTAAAACTGAAGAGCGTGCACATTCTATCACGCTCTACATTATTCTATCTGCCTTCATGATATCTGTGTCTTTTTAGAATGTTGCATGCAGAGAGGACCCCTGACTTGCCTGAGGTCATATCCAATTGCTCATAAGAGCCTCAGTTTCTGCTTCTTATGAGCGGGGTGATTGCCATTTTCTAAGTGAAATCAGCATCTGTCCTCTTTCTGCCATATCTATCTCCCTAGCTTTTTATCATCATCTAAATAACAGCTCCATTTCAGATCATCTGCATGTAGAGTCTCTCAAATAACAAGAAGAGACTTGCTCAAAGTAACAGGGAAGAACCTTTCTCTGTGTCAGCTGGTACGATAGGTCTACTTCATTTCTACACAAGAGGTTTCTCTTGACCAGTGAGTTTCTGTAGGAACAGCCCTGTAGTGCCTTCTTGGAACTTTAGTGAGTTCAGGAGGGAGGATCCCATAAGCATTACTTCCTGTTACCCTGCCTCGAAGCCCCATCATTGCTCTCTATAGGGGAAACTACGTAGGCCTTGACTTTGTTTGACTTAAGCTCTGGTTACCCTTCAAATGAACTAAGAACCTGTCTGGATGATGCCTTTTTATTTCTCCAATTTAGTAATCTGTTACTCTTCTATGTAAGCTTCTGAATCAGATGCCGGAGAAGTCTATCATTCAGAACCTCGAGGAGGGCAGACATGAAGAGCTTATTACTATGTCATGGTTTTAACATGTTTTTCCGGTTTTTGCGTTTTGACTTTGGTTTTTCTGATGTGAGTACAATTATGCGTGTGCATGTGTTTTTGTTTTTTTGTAAATAGTTTTTCTAAGTTAATCCTTAGCAGGTTGCCCAGACTCCATTCCTGCTCCGCCAGTAGTTCTTCTTGTAATCCAGGATAATTTTACTTGCTGGCCATAGACCTTTATTTCCTTATTGAAAACAAGTGGATGTGGTTATCCTTTCCAGTTCTCACTCTAGAATTCTACCCCTTGGAATCTTCTTTAGTTCTCAACATGACCAATTTCGTTTTGTTGATTAAACTGTAAGTGGGGCCTTTTCTGGTGCCATATTAAGAGACCCTCTAATTTCGTCAATAGGTCTCAGTCTCATTGTAGGTTGGGTGTTAGTTTCCCATAGGTAGTTAATCCTGTGGTCTGTGAATAAGTATTAACTAAGGTCACAACTGTTGACACTGTTTGACCTCAGTGTTCTCCTTTTTTTCTGACCTTGTCCTCAGTTTGTGAATCCGTCCTTGTTCCAGCTTTCAGGCTTCTGTATAAATTGTACACAGTGGTGGCCTAGATAGTCTGTCCTGGCATACCTAGTAAGCCTGAGTAAGGGAAAGACAGAATCATTTATCATTTTGGTTACTCTTATGTAAGAGTAATGCATTTAGGTAGAATTTTTTTAATTGCGTTTTGATTCATTGTGACTTTCCTTCATCTTGCCAGGAGATTTTCTCTGTAACTTGGGTTTATCCTGTTGGATTCTGCCTCTAGACAATATTATTAGCCACACAGTAGATCTGATTTGAGTCACTACAGAAAGACTCTGGGTATTCTTTCTTCCATATTTAAAAACAAATTGGTTTCTTATCTGTGTTACTTCACTAGATTTTGTTTGTAAGTATACACTGTGTATTTTATAGCAGATTATCTTTTTTAAAAGACGGCTCCCTTTATGGCTACATGAGAAAATGGAAAACTTTCTGGTATATCAAAATCAAATGAAGCAATTTCTCTTGAAAGAGAAGCCTTTAAGTTTATTCTGTTTTTTCCTTTGAACTGCGTTTGAAAGTGAACCGCCAACTCTGAATGTGAAAATGAAAGCAAAAAATGAAATGTTTCGTTTCGGCATCAAAATCACCGTGTATCAAGGGGTCACATTTGAAATGAAGAGTTGTATGCAGTGTTGCCCTGCCCTGCAGGAATTTTTGTGTTGGGCTGGGAAACTCTCACCTTCCCCTCGTTGATTTTGCCTTTGACTGCAGAGGAAAAGTTTCTTCCTAGTTAGACTCAAGACTAATTATTTCACAGTAAGAAAATATTCTTTTTCTACATATAAAAATGGACAAATCAGTGTTATAAGAACCATCAGTTTATAAAATAATGTGTAGGCAGGAAATAACAGCTAATTGCTGCCAAATATCAAGCAATTAATTAGTCCCTATTAATTCCAAGTGGTATCATTTGCCAGCTTAGCACATATATCTTCTGTCAACACACATCTGTTCAAGGTTGACAAACTGTATTTACTTAAATACCATGTTTATCTACTTGAATGATCAGCATTCTTTCTTTTGAAAATGTTAAGATGAGTGGTTTTTCTCTCTCCTCTCTCACGATGTAAAGTGCAAGGAATTATACTGGAGAAGCTAACCACAACATCTGAAATGCCATCACTAATAATCACCATGGAAACAGAGATCTCTGATGTCACACTGCCCGTACCATTTCCGAAAGGGCAAATACAACCGTGATAGCCACTATTTAAAAAGCCATTTAACACCCCCAACAGAATGAGTTTTTTCTTCTGGCAATTTTGGCTAGGTATCAGAACCAATGGTGTGACTGTTTCAGTTTGCCGAGCTAATTGCTATGCAGCAAGATATGAACAGCTATTCCCCAAGCTCCTCTGACTACCTTCGTCATAAGCACTATTCTATTTGTGTCCTTTCAAGTAGAAAATTAACATGGCCATTGGCCAAGAATCGTACAAGGCCGATGGATTGCACAGTGATGGTGAGAAATGAGGAAAAGGTCTAAATGGTTGATGACAGAAATCACTGAAGTCAGAGACCGATAGCCATTTTGTTTAAATTTATTAAAAAGCCAGAGAAGGGGAGAGGAGAGAAGAATTTGAATATAGGGTGAGTAAACGAGTCACTGTGGAGATAAGATCATCCTTAATCATGATGATCTTAGTTATGTGACCCCAAAACTACATCACAGTGTCCCCTGGTCAGAAAATAAATGTCCCTGTGCCTTATGTAATCCAGTATGGCT